GAGGAAGGGAGTGAGGGGGTGCAGGTGCCTTGGTGCAGGGTGAGCCCGCGGGCAGGAGTGGGATTTACCGGAAGCTCTGGTCTCTCCCACACCAGCAGACATTTCCTTAGCTGAAGAGGCTGCAAAGAAAATAAGTGATATATTAACAGATTTTTTTTTGCCCTTTGGAAGAGTTACAGAGAACAGCTTTAAAAATAGATCAACAAAGCAAAGTCCATTAAAATGTGTTAAGTCATGATGTGCTGTGACTTAAAATGGGGCCTGCGATTTGTGCCAAAGACAGGCAACGAGGTCCCCCGTGGAGGAGAATGACTAGGAAATGTCCTTTTGCCTTGAGACGAACTTTCTGTTCTTCTTCATTACTAGGCATTTTGAAAAGGAGACTAGAGCTTTCGCCCTCCATTTTCACTTTCTCTCCAGACACTTCTGTGTTCCTGCTTCTGCTCCCACTCCCCTACGTGCACTGACACCCTATCCCTGGGCCGCCGCCCTCTCGTCCCCACAGCTGCTGTTGGTTTCATAAAGTGTCTGCCAAGCGATGAGAGTATGTTCCCTTAGGGCAGCGGTTCTCAACCTGTGGGTCACGCCCCCTTTGGGGGTCGAACGACCCTTTCACAAGAGTCACCTAAGACCATCGGAAAACACATCTAGAGTTACATGTTGTTTTTGTGATTAATCACTATGCTTTAATTATGTTCAATTTGTAACAATGACATTGGGGGTCACCACAACATGAGGAGCTGTATTAAAGGGTCGCGGCGTTAGGAAGGCTGAGGACCGCTGCCTTAGGTGTTTGTATGTGCTCATGTCCTTTCTCCCACCTGGACTGAAGCAACTATAGTCTCTCCTCTCAGGGAGCACTGTGAACTCAAACAATAGAGCTGTCAATGTCTCCTCCCCCTCCCCCGCAGATTTCACGCACATTATAACCCTCTAACACTCATTGCCACGGCTATTTGCTTCTCACCTTATTAAAGTTTCATGTCATACCTGACACATAAATACAGAGAATGTAGACATATAAGGCGGTTCTGACGGATGACACCATAATGAGCCCCTCCGAGCCCACTGCGGACTGTAATACCTGCAGCATCTCAGTGTCTTCGACTCTGTGTGCTCCGGGCCCTCACTCACACCCCACTGCAGCCAGGTGACCACGATCCTGAATTTTCTGCTTATCTTCCTCCTTTGTCATTTCTTTTTAGAAAAACACAAAGCTACATAAGCATGTACCTCTAAAAATAGAGATTATTTTTTAGCTTTTAAAAACGTTACGCCATGTATGTAGTCATCTGCCCTTGATTTTTTTCACTCAGAATTACCTTTCTTCTTTTTTTTACTATATATTTTTTTATTGATTTCAGAGAGGAAGGGAGAGGGAGAGAGAGAAACATCCATAATGAGAGAGAATCATGGACCGGCTGCCTCCTGCACCCCCGCCCCCCCTCCACTGGGGATCAAGCCCGCAACCTGGGCATGTGCCCTGACTGGGAATCGAACTGTGACCTGCTGGTTCATAGGTCGATGCTCAACCACTGAGCCATGTCAGCCTGGCCTTATTGTAAATTAATAAACTGACATTTTGATCATTTGCTTCCTGACTCCACAAAATATTGAATGCTAATATAAAGGAGATCCTTTAATGTTTTCAGAGATTAGAAAATGTATAATG